CTAGGGTGCAGGCCCTGGGCTGGTGCAGGGGATTGCGGTGTAGGAGAGGTACAGGGTGCAGGCTCTGGGAAGGAATTTGAGTGCAGAAGGGTGAGAGGTTGGGCTCTGGGAGGAAGGTTGGGTGCGGGGAGGAGGTCTAGGGTGCAGGCCCGGGGCTGGTGCAGGGGATTGCGGTGTAGGAGAGGTACAGGGTGCAGGCTCTGGGAAGGAATTTGAGTGCAGAAGGGTGAGAGGTTGGGCTCTGGGAGGGAGTTTGGGTGGGGGGAGGAGGTCTAGGGTGCAGGCCCTGGGCTGGTGCAGGGGATTGCGGTGTAGGAGAGGTACAGGGTGCAGGCTCTGGGAAGGAATTTGAGTGCAGAAGGGTGAGAGGTTGGGCTCTGGGAGGGAGTTTGGGTGGGGGGAGGAGGTCTAGGGTGCAGGCCCTGGGCTGGTGCAGGGGATTGCGGTGTAGGAGAGGTACAGGGTGCAGGCTCTGGGAAGGAATTTGAGTGCAGAAGGGTGAGAGGTTGGGCTCTGGGAGGAAGGTTGGGTGCGGGGAGGAGGTCTAGGGTATAGGCTCTGGGCTGGGGTGCAGGAGAGGGTGAGGGGTGCAGGCTCTGGGATGGAGCTTGGGTGCAGGCTCTGGGCTGGGGGTGCTGGTGCAGGCTCTGGGAAGGGGTTCGGGAGTGGGAGAGAGTCTGTGGGAAAGGGGTGGGGGTGCAGGCTCTGGGAGGGAGTGGGACGGTGCAGCACTTACCTGGGGCTCCTAGGCAGGGTGGGCTGGGGGGCCTCTGTGTGCTGCTACCCCCAGGCATAGGCGCTGACTTCGTGAGTGCTCCAGGGCTGGAGCATCCGATGAAAAAAAAATTGGTGGGTGCTCAGCACGCACCAGCAGCTCCCCGTGGCCCCGCCCCGCCCCCTGCTCCAGCTCACCTCCGCCTTCGCCTCTGCCGTGAGCGTGATGCTGTGTCCTGCTTCTACCCCTCCCTCCCAGCGCAGGGAGGGAGGGGGGAGGAGGGGTAACGTGGCGCACTGGGGGAAGAGGCAGGGCCGGGGCAGGGATTTGGGGAAGGGATCCAATAGGGGCAGGGAGGGGGTGGAGTTAGGGCGGGGACTTTGGGGATGGGGTTGGAATGGGGGCGGGGCCAGGGCCGGGATGAGGTGGAGTTGGGGCGGGACCAGGGGCCGGAAAAGGGGCGGGGGGCACGGGCACCCACCGGCGCTGGAGAAGGTTGGTGCCTATGCCCCGAGGCACTGCCCTCGCAGCTTCCTACTGGCCGCAGGGCGTTTGGGGTGGGAGCAGCGCGCGTGGACACAGACCCACCCTGCCCAGGGGCCGCAGGGAGGGGCCAGCAGCCACATGGAACAAGCAGGCAGGAAGCTGCTCAGCTCCACTGCGCTGCCGGTGGTGGGTGGGGGACGTGCGGAGGGGAGCGCCCGGGGGCGGAAGGCGGGGCTGAGGGAGAGACCAGCCTCAAACATTGCTGGAGCCAGGCCCCGGGCCAGGAATGTTCCTGATGCCCAGGCACCACGGACCCATATAACTCGCCGCCTATGGATGGATGAGGCTAGGATAGGGGATGGATAGACAGATGAGGATGAAGATGGGAATAGCTGGATAGATGGAGATGCGGTAGATGGATGGAGATGGATAGATAGATGAGGATGGGGATAGCTGGATGGGGTAGGTACATAGATAGATGAGGATGAAGATGGGGACTGATGGATGGAGATGGGGATAGATGGGTTTTTTGTGGCTAGAAGAGACTCTGTCAATCCTGTCCCATGTTTGTCCCAGAAGCCAACCCCCCCAGTGAGATGTGGCGATCCCAGCCCGGCCCCCCAAGGAGGTTGCAGCATCCTGGGGAATGCCCTACAACATGCCCCTCCCACCAGGACCCCCTGTGGGGCTGTGAAGCACAATCAGCTGGGGCGCAGGTGCAGTCTGGACATAGCCTCTTCTTCCCGAACGCCCCGCATGCCCCCGTGCCCAGGGCAGCACTGAGCAGGCCATGCCAGTCCATGGCGTGGGGATCCCAGCCCCAGGTCCGGCGCAGGTAATTCCCTTTGCATCTCGGTCCCAGCCAGCGAGGCTCCTCCTGCCCTGAGGGGAGGCGTTTCCCCCTTGCACCCACCAGCTCCCTGTTGCACTGCAAGCACTGAACCCAGGTGTCCTGGGTCCCAGCCTTCCCCTGTCAGGGCGAACTCCCTCCCGGGCCCGGGCCAACCCAGTGTCGGCTCTGGAGGTTGAGGCTCAGGTTGAATTTTCAGTCCCAGGGCCAGCATTTTTTTTGTAAATTTATGTTTATTCACGACAGGGCGACGAAGCCTTGAGTGCAATGAATGCGGATGTGCAGGGGGGTGGGGATGCTGGAAACAGGCTATAGGTGCTGGCGCTGAGTTCCCGTCCCATTGATGATCTCCCAGGGGCCTTGACGGCACTGGGAGCAGGTGGGTTTGGAACGGGAGGCGGCCAGCCCGGGGTAACGAACACAGGACAGCGCTAGCACGGACAGGACAGGTTGCAGTTCCAACAAGACTCAGCTGGCAGGGTGAGGATGAGGATATCCCCCGAACAGTCACTCGACCGGCCGACATGGGGGTGAGCTACAAACAGCCAGGTCAGCCCCAGGGTTCAGCTCAGAGACAAACCACCTGCTTCCCTAGCCTGAGTTTGGTTGGGCGTGCCAAGGGAGCCGACGGGATCTGGATTTGAACCTGGTCCTAACTCCTGTAGGCCCCCTGCCTTGTTGCTCATGATGGTTGGGTGCTGCCCACGGCTCCCCTGAGCGGAGCAATAGCTGGTGGCAGGGAGATGGGGGGGGAGGGGGAAGCACAGCCCCTTTGCAAAGCAGGCCCTATGTCAGGGCATTACCTTAAAGGAACTTTTGCCCTGTTTCGGATCCCCTGCACAAAGCATAGTGGAGGCGTTATAGTAACGATAGATCTGGTCAGGATTCCTCAGACACACATAATCCTCCAGCACCTCCACGTCCACCTCCTGGAGCACATCTGAGCCCTTTGCACTGCGGGCGCACATCCGGTCCCAGCCGGCGACACTGCACATGTCCATGGGGTTCACGCGCGAACTGGATCTATACATGGAAATTAGCCCCACCCATTCATTGAGCCTGGCTCGGTGCGCCAGCTACAAAGACAGGACACGAGGCTCGCGGTCAGCGAGAAAGTCAGTCATGGATGGGCCAATCCAAGAAGAAAGCAAAGCAGGAGGTGACCACTGGGAGTGGGGTCATGGGATAGGGGCGGTACCTGCAGCAGTGTGAGGTCCCTGGGGGCGGGGTGAGGGGATGGGGGCAGTACCTGCAGCAGTGTGGGGTCACTGGGGGTGAGATGATGGGATGGGGGTGATACCTGCAGCAGTGTATGGTCACAGGGGGCTGAGTGATGGGGGGGCTGGTACCCAGGGCCGGCGCAACCCATTAGGCGACCTAGGCGGTCGCCTAGGGCACTACAATTTGGGGGGCGGCGACAGCAGCGGTATTTCGGCGGCGGGACCTTCCGCCGCTTCTGTGGGGGCGGCATTTCGGGGCGGGACCTTCCGCCGCCTAGGGCAGCAGAAAAGCTGGCGGCGCTCCTGCTGGTACCTGCAGCAGCATGACATCATTGTTAAAGGAGTACATGTCATATTGCGGGTGGGGGATCCGGCGATGCACAGGAATTTCTTGTTGGCGCCATTCCCACAGTCTAAGGTTATGGACTCCCAGCTTGACAGTGATGTAGCTAGAAAAGTTAAGGGGAAAGCAGGAGTCCTTAGGGGCGGCGGCGTATGCACAGTGATAGACGGGCCCAGGTGGGTCTCACTCAGGAATACTGCTCTTGGGGGCTGCGACATTTTAAGAGCATAAGTGCAGACATACTGGGTCAGACCAAAGGTCCATCTAGCCCAGTATCCTGTCTTCTGACAGTGGTCAACGCCAGAGGGAATGAACAGAACAGGTAATCATTAAGTGATCCATTCCCTGTCGCCCATTCACAGCTTCTGGCAAAGAGAAGCTAGGGACACCATCCCTGCCCATCCTCGCTAATAGCCATTGATGGACCTATCTTCCATATAGTGCCTTAGTTGTCTCTTTTCCAAGCTGAAAAGTCCCAGTCTTTTTAATCTCTCCTCATACAGAAGCCGTTCCATACCCCCTAATCATTTTTGTTGCCCTTTTCTGACCCTTTTCCAATTCCAATATATCTTTTTTGAGATGGGGCAACCACATCTGCACGCAGTATTCAAGATGTGGACGTACCATGGATTTATATAGAGGGAATATGATATTTTCTTTCTTGTTATCTATTGCTTTCTTAATGATTCCCTGTTCACGTTTTTGACTGCTGCTGCACATTGAGTGGATGTTTTCAGAGAACAATCCACAATGACTCCAAGATCTCTTTCTTGAGTGGTAACAGCTAATTTTATATGTCTAATTGGGATTATGATTTCCAATGTGCATTACTTTGTATTTGTGAGGTCCCTTTGAAGCGCTTCGCAGTCTGCCTGGGATTTAACTATCTTGAGTAGTTTTGTATCATCTGCAAATTTTACCACCTCACTGTTTACCCCTTTTTCTAGATCTAGGCCCCCGGTCCCACCTAGCTGAGTCAGAGCCCACCCAATAAAGATTCATTCCTCCCTTGGGTCTTTGGGCATCTTGCGCATTGCCGGCTCCAATCCAGCCCAAGGGCCAAGGGTGGGGTTTGGGGGACTCGGGATGGGTGGGTTTCTTACCCCTGCTTGTCGTTGCAATGAGCTGCCGTCAGCACCACATCGTCCCGAATCAGGACCCCCCCACATGTTTTCACCCCTCTCCACATTGCTATCTGCACATAGGCCATGTAGGGTCTGGAGTGGGGCCGGGCTTCCCATCCCCCGATGATCTCCCCTGGCAGGGAGATGGGGAGGGGTGAAAATCATCTGCTTTGAGACAATGTGAGGTCGGAGAGTGTAACCAAGGACCCCAGCCCTAACCCTACACCTAATCAGGAGCCCTGATCGGCCTGTGGACCCAGACAACCCGGCCTCCCTCTCCGTTCTCTCCAGATCAGCCCTCAGCACCCCAGCTCTCCCCTCCCCCTGGATCGGCCCCTCACTCTATCCCCATCCCACTATATATCTATGGATTCCCACCTGGACCTGTGCACTCATCCATCCCTGATCTCTGTGGGCTCCCCCTCCCTGGGGCTCCTCCACCCCCCCCCCAAGCCCACTTCGGACCAACTCACCACGCTGAGCCCCGGGGAGCAGGAGAAAGGCCACAGGGAGCAGGACCAGGATCAAGAGCTGCATCCTCAGAGCCATCTAGGGACAGACACAGAGCTTCTGCCTCAGCCCTGGAGGTTATATGGACCTGGGAGGGGAGGGCAGGGTCTGGCAACCACAAAGGCAGTACCCGGTTTCTTGGAAACCCCCACCTGGATGGACCAGGGGTGGAAATGCCCCTGGGAGAAGTCACAGCCATGCCCACATGCCCTCTGGTGCCCAGTCAGCCTGGCTGCGGATGTGGCTAACTCTGCTCCCCACCCTTCCTATAAGTGTGAGAAACGCCCTTGGGCTTTTCTGCACCTAGATTCACAGGCCACTCAATTTGATTTGATTTGCACCTTAGCTCCAACTGGATTGTTGCTGATTCAAGCTCCCGGCCACCTGGTCTCGTCTTGCTTTAGCCAGCGAGGTCGAAGAGCCCCCTGAACTCAGAAACCCCCTCCCCACTGAGGTTCCTACAGATGGGGGCTGAGTCCCCTCTTTGCCTCCGATCACCTCAGGAGATCGATCCCCTTGGAGCTCTTCCCGCCAGGCTGGGGCTCCAGACCTTGACTTCCTCTGGTTGCTCCTTCCAACTTGCCAACTTCCTGAGTGAGGGGTGGACACGAGAGCTGGATACAGTCTCCCGGTACAATCTCACCAAGGCCATGTCCAGAGGTGACATCCCCTCCCGCCCCCCCGCTCCTACTCGATATCCCCTGGTGTATACTCCCACAGACGGCGTCTGCCCGCTTAGCTCCTGCATCGCACTGGGAGCACATGCTGGGTCAGTTTCCACCATGACCCCTAAGTCCCTTTCAGAGTCCTTGCTCTTCAGGATACAGCCCCCGTCCAGTTGGCGTGAGCGACATCCCTTGATGTCTGACCTTGCATTTGATTGGTTTCAGATGTCTGTTTGATTGAGCCCAGCTCACCAGGCCACCCAGATCAGTCCATAGCCGTGAGACATCCTCCCTGTTCTTTATCACCAATCTCTCGGTCCGCCGCAGACTTTACCAGACTCTTACCGGCCCCCAAGGATGACAGCAGGGTCACTGAACACGGCCTGTTCTCCACGAACCTGTGTCATTAAGAATATTCCCCTCTTTTATCAAACACTTATTGATAAAGTCCAACCTCACCCATTGCACTGTTTCACTTTGGATCCCTGTCGTGCAGCTGGGATATCTAATGGATGAGGGGGCGGGATGAGTCCACCAGATACATGTAGACCTGCGCGTCACCACCTGCACGCATTGCAGAGCCATTCTAGATGCATGAACGTTCAACTAAATACATGTAAATTCAGGCTAGATTCATTTTGATTGAGGCAGTTCCATTCTAGATCTATCCATATCCACACGAAGAGTCATTCTAGATCAATGCACAGCCACTCTAAAGCCAAGTAGATCCTTGTATGTCCATTCTAGACCCGTCTCCCCAGCCCACCCACTGGCTGAACCCTGCTGGTAGCTACAGCAGGTGTTGCTGATCTGAGTGTCCAATTTTATAGACTTCTATAATATCTCCATCCCTAGTCATCCTAAACTGAACTATTGCAGTCTTTTAAAATCTCTCCTCATGAAAGCTGTTCCATACCACAATCATTTTTGTTGCCCTTCTCTGCATATTTTTCATTTCCAATCCATTTTTTGAGATGGGGTGACTAAAACTGCATGCAGTATTCAAGGTGTGGACAGATCAAGGATTTATACAGTGGGATTATATTTGCTACTTAGTTCTGCATTGAGTGCAGGGACTGGACTAAAAGACCTCACAAGGTCCCTTCCAGTCCTATATTTCTATGATTATGATACTTTCTGTCTTATTTATCCCTTTCTTAATGATCCCCAACATTCTGTTCACTTTCTTGAATCCCTCTGCACATTGAGTGGATGTTTTCTGAGAACTATCCACAATGACTCCAAGATCTCTTTCTTGAGTGGTAACACCTAATTTAGAAAGAACAGGAGTACTTGATGCATCCGAAGAAGTGGGTTGTAGCCCACGAAAGCTTATGCTCTAATAAATTTGTTAGTCTCTAAGGTGCCACAAGTACTCCTGTTCTTTTTGAGGATACAGACTAACACGGCTGCTACCCTGAAACCTAATTTAGACCCCATCATTTTATATGTATAATTGGGATGTTTTCCAATGTGCATTACTTTGCATTTATCAACAATAAAGAACAGGAGTACTTGTGGCACCTTAGAGACTGACAAATTTATTAGAGCATAAGCATTCTATGACAGACCTGCGGGTGGCTATATTACAACAGAAAAACTTCAAAAACAGACTCCAATGAGAGACTGCTGAGCTGGAATTGATATGCAAACTAGACACAATCAACTCAGGATTAAATAAGGACTGGGAATGGCTGAGCCATTAC